GATATTGAGATTGTAAACCACACACTTGTAAACCACACACTTGTTTTTAAATATAAGGATTGTAAACTACACACTTGTGTTCATATGAATTTTATGATCGACACACTTGTATTCGTATTGAGACTATTCGCCGACATTATTATCTGATGTTGTTTATACACGTTTCATAAATCTACCAAGGTTCAAGCTAGAGACATCTTTTAATAGTTTGGCGCCGGACAATACCTCGGTCAATGGGGTTGAACGAGCAGAGCAGATAATTTCTTTACTTGAATCATGTCTTTGGAAAGGGGGAGTCCTCACCCGCGCGTGCGTCAGATTTCCATAGCGTGTCATTGTTCACATGAGCCTATGCCTTTTTAGCGTGTGTTGTTATCGTCGCTTGAGACTCAATTCCCGCGCGTGCGCAGGTGACGATCCTCCCGCTTTGATACTAGTATGCTGTCAAATACATGTACTACAAGTACAACCTGCCAATTTATTGGGGCATAAATGATTTGTAATGTATACTGCCAAATGTAATCTGTTATGCAAATTTTGGTAATGAGCATATAATAATGCGTTATAAAAAACACATTCTGAAACCGGTACCAAAATCTTCACCAGACGATACTCAGACTACATTTGCTTTTTTTTTTTTTTTTTGCTTAGGATATGGACTAAAATGCTATGATTGTAAGGTGTCTTTTAAAGACAGGTATTTCCCAACTGATTGTCAGTTTAATGTAGAAGAAACACTCGATCCAAGAGATTGCCAGCCACACGAGTATTACTGTATGGTAAGTTTTACTGATTTCAACCGTTGAGGGCGATCCCTCCAATAATACTGGTATTATATTAGGCAAGAGTTTTATTATCGCTTGTCTTGCGAACCAGCCGAATGAAGAGGAGCCGAAAATGAAATAAAAATAAAATTTTATTTCAGCGTAATTTCTCGCGCCCACCAACTTGAAAGCGAGAAACAAGGTCATGCATGGAATAAAATTTTATTTCATTTCTTCTCTCCGATCAATAATCTCACTTACAATTCTTTTAATCACACAAATTTATTAAATGGAAAAAAAAGAATTAATTTTTTTTTTTTTCCGCCGTCCTCAAATAAATTGCCTTATAAAAACTCAAGAAACAAGGAATAAAAAAAGTTTGGCTTTATGTGCCGCTATTGCGCGGTGTAGTTTTCATTACTCTGATAATTGATAGTTTTAGAGTAACCCCACGTGACCACGGATTGACCAATCGCATCACAGAATCTGTATGTAGTGTGTTGTAATGCACAGAAATTCTCACCTGGTGACGTTAGAAGAAACTCAAGATAAAAACGTTGATAAATTGATCATTTTAAGCGATGAGAACCGTTCTCGTTTTTTTACCTTCAAAGTTTAAAGGGCGGCAGTCGTCGCGCCGCGTCCTGTTCAATATGGGACTCATAGAAGACGTATACAACGCGTGTAAAATACATTGTTTATTTACATGAAATTCGAACACGCACTGCGCGACGACCACCGCGCTTTAATGTTTTACAAAGTAATATCCGCCCTCTATTGACCCGTCCGTTGAGGGCGCACGAGAAGCTACAGCAAACATGACGCCAGTGTATGTGCAAGTGTAACATTAAGCCATTTATTTTTTCAGGTGGTGCGAAAAGAAACAAACGGAGTGGTGACGTCTTTTGAAAGAAACTGTGCTAAGCCCAACAGGTGCCTTTATGGCTGTAAATACAGTGGATTCGGGCTGACGAAAACACAGTGTACGTCATGCTGCAGTCAGGATGGCTGTAACACTGATAATCCAGCAGTGTCTGTTCGTCCCGTTAAAACGTACCTTGGGATTCTTTTATTAACTCTCGCGTTATTATCGCGCCTAACGCAATGACAGAATACTAGTATATTACAGACTCGAACGAGAGAATTCAGTCAACCCCGGGCCGTTTCACAAGATCTGTGTAGTGCGCCATCAGCGGCGACACTTGTGGGTACTCGACTCTGTAGGGACGAGCTCAAACTGAATCTTACGGTCTTGGAGACGGAGAACATATTTACTTAATTTAATCACATTTACTAATTATGAGAATCGAAAAACATGACATCGCGGTGTTTTCAATTTAAAAAGAAATCTACTAATTAATTAACATGCGTGGAACGTTACGGCCAGCCGTTTGGTCATCAAGTTACCAAGTTTGGTAACGAATAGCAACCAAGCTTGTGAAAAAATGAATGTTTAAATATCAGACGGAGGGGGTGAAGCAGTCTTGCTACTAATTACAACTTGAACACAAAAGTGTTTTTACAATATTTACGAAGTGCTTTAATCTATGCATTATATTTCATAACTAGCTACAAACTATGCGCACGATTTGTTCCAGCTATTTGAATTTCAGAAGTATGGCAAAATAACTATATTTTCGATTAAGACTTCGCGTGACGTTGAAGGTACATGTGGAAGTAAATTTTAACTTAAGCATTCAAGATAGACGGTTTTGCCCGTGACAATAGTGCCATCAAGATAATAAATTGTAAATTTTCCATTGGCGTCACTATTTTCACGAACAAATTATGCTTGAAATACTAGACATTCGTAAGCAATACTTAAATAAGTGTGTCGCCCTCAGCGGCGAATATAAGTATTTTTAATCATCGGCTGAGGTGACTTGACGTGTGCTTGTCATTTTTATTATACAGTTTTAATGGATATTAATTAAGTAATTATTGCATTGATATTATGATGACATCATGATGTCGTCATAGTGTCCCCGCATAACAAGATTCGAATTCCATGTAAGTAAACAATGTATGTTAACAACGCATGGTACACGTCGAATGGAACCCATATTGAAGATATTGCGGTGTGACGCTCATCGCTATTGCTACTATCCAGTATGTGGAATGGTTTCGAAGGCCTGGGTTTCAGAAAACAAACACATTGTATAGGTAAAGTGCACGACTTCCTTTTATTGTACTTATTTATTTATTTTGCAATAAAATAACAGAATTAAATAAACATTTAAATAAAAAAAACATTTCTGTTTTTCAAGTACTTGGCGAAAGTTGTAGTGTTTTCCGCCAGGAATGGGATACGTTCTCTACTTCATTAACACCGCCCTCATTTCACACTATAGTTAAATTCTTCGCAGATACCATCATGGCATGGCAACTAGAAAGCAAGTATATCTTAAATTGAATGACATATTTCCGATGAGATCGACGATTGAGAACAGAATTTTCTCTGGATGTTTAAGCTAAGCTCACAGTGACATCACTGTACTAAATGTCTCATAATTTGATGAGGACTTAGTGTAGTTTTTTTTTGGCTAAAAATTCGCCCTTAACATACCTTTGTACAAGCACAAAATTGCGAGAGGGTGCGTCGCCTCGTGAAATCAGTACGAATTCCGATTCCCGGTTTCCTCGGCCGGCTGTACATCTCAAAGTGAGACTTGCCTATAAGGGAGTGCGTCTGATTCGTCTTACGGGCAAATACAAACATGTCAGACTGCTAGTAATCAGTAAACGGGGATCCTTTTTTCACTCACGTCGATTGGTTCAACATCACATAATGTATGTTTACGTTGCCGGCATATCCTGTATGCGCGCGCATGCTAAAATGTGTCGTATTTCGACTTCCGGGTAATTTGTTCTACAGTAAAATTTGTAAGCCGCCGTCACGCGTATGAGATTGAATATCATACATTGGATCTGTATTGTTGCAATTGTTTACATTTTTCAAGTTTCCCATCTAAAACCCGTCGAAGGACATACATCATATTTTCTCCGCTGAATTCACTTGTCGCCATGACAGCGTCGAGACCACAAAATCCCGCTTTACCAGACTTGCTGAGGAGCTCCCCTACACCGTTGTCATCGAACCTGTCATCGTGCGTTAAGTTAATGAACTGCGAACGGAAAATAACGCTCAGGTAAATATTAAGATCTAGATTAAATGTCTGAAGTTGAGACTGTTGGATGACCCGGATGACATCACGTGACATTATGGCCGCTGTTTTATCACTGCAGTGTGGGAAAAAGTAATCATACGGCCAATTGTCGATCGACACATACCAAGGACTTTTCGCATCTCTCACTGGCTTAACTCTCTCCTTCACATGGCAACTTACGAGGTTACGTTCAGGGGCAGTGTGTAAATAACTGATTACATTCCAGATATTTAAAAAGCTATCAACGGGCAGTAGTACTAAATATTCAGTAGACGAGCAGTATTCAGTGACCCAGGTCAAAGCACTGAGAAGCCGATGAGTAGGTTGGTCACGTGATGTAGACGATGTCGTCAGCAGAATGTCCTGGTACATTTCCATTTCATTTACAATGGTGTTTTGTATTGTTTGGTCAGAGGATGTGCCGATCACAAATATTGTTACCACCCGCTTACCTAAAATAAAATAGTTTCGAGCCCATGTCAGACGAGCCGCTCGCCTGTTGTCGTACTGATCGGGAGATGACATCACCAAGGCAACTAAATATACATCATCGCATGACTGAGTATGTTGAAATTTAAAGTCGCGAGTTTGTTTGGTAATATTGGATTTGTGAAAATCGAAGGATGCTTGTTGTTTTTCTAAGTACACCTCGTCGCAATTCGATCTATTTGTTTTACTTTGCATCATAGCCCAGTATTTTCTAGTCATGTTTGGTGTAAAGGGATGCGACGCAATGGCGGCTTGGAATGTGCAACGTGATTTGTAAATCGCAGTCAAATCATAGTGAGTATGAGCATAGGGAGCGATCCCTAACCGACTCATGACGACACCGATGTAAATATCGTCCCATTTCAAAACCGGTATTTCTCGTGCGACCTCGTAGACCTTCGGCACTAGATCCATTGACACTACATACGATGCTCCAGTGACGTAAGGTGGGTACGTATCCGGTGCCCATACCTCATAGGGAGTGAACCGTTTATGGGGCTCATGCCGTTGAGGGCGCACCATAATTCGACTCTCCCCCATGTAAATACCCTGCCTCGGAGTACGACTTAAAAAATCGATTAAATTGGCATAATTCAAGAACACGTCATCATCCGCCTTGATAAAGTATTGCGCTTGTCTGCAGAATGTGCTGGCCCAATGAAATGCCGTTAACGTTTTTATAATTAGATGGTCTTCGGTATCTATGAAATTATTTTGAATTATATCGTTGTACTTTTTGTCCTCCTCTTCTAAATCAGCTTGAAATCTTTGATCCAAATCCACTCCGGTGAAAAATATAGTTTCAATCCTGATGCCGCGCTGAGTGGAGTTATTCCTTCCCCATGTATCACGTATGGTCTTTCTCTGGGCCACGTGACGGGGGTGACTAAACAAACATACTAACATGAAAACGTCACCACCGCGTACGCTGCTGTCACATACATCCGGGTGATTGATGACGTACGACGATCTCGCCATTCCGATAACCTCTCCGTTGTCTACCACTAGACGGTCGGAATCGACGTGTCTTGATTGGTTATTCTGGTCACATTGCACGTAGTTCTTCCATTCTTCAAATTGGCGCCAAACGGACAGCAGCAGATAGTCGGATGCAAAATTGAAACAAATTGCTCGTTTGAGTACGCATAAACTGGGTTTGATTTTCAGAGAGAGAAACCCATCGTTGTGAATTGCCGCTGTTCCAGTTGTGTTCATAATTATTCCAATGTACACGTCTTCTAAGTGAAATAGGCTCGTATTGTGGGCGGCATTATAAAAAGATTCGATGACGTCATACGACATCACGTACGCAGGTCCGTTTGGATACGGTGGATACACCTCAAGAGGCCATTCATCGTGCGCAACAAACCACTTGTAACGGCTATCTCGTACGGGAATTGCGTCTCTGTGGATGTAGCCCATCACTCCGCGTGAGCTTGCTGAATCTCCAAGAACCTCTACGAGATTAGGCAAATTAATATAGACGTCGTCGTCCGATTTCATCACGAAATCAGCATTCGGACAACAAGTTCTTGCCCATTTGATCATCAGTACAGTTTTTAAAGTCAGGTTTCGATAGCTGTCTTCAATATCGATGATAACAATGTCGCCATGTTTTTTGCTCTCTTCCTCGACATTGGCATTGTGTTTCGGGTCAGTATTTAAACCAATGAAGAAAAGTTGCACAAAGCGTTTCCCAGACACGTACATATCTTGCTTCCGTGTTCGCCTTATCAACTCTCTTTGATTTACTTTATCCGCACTGGACGGGATTACTAAAAGCACGAACACACGTCCCACGTCATCACTTCGTGGGATGTCACCAAAACACGCATTTATCGGGTTGATGATAAACCGGTATGGAAATGAATTCAATGTGTCCAGTTTCATACTATCCTGGGTGTCTGTTATGTAATCGATGCCAGTCTCCTCCCCCGTATGACTGGAATCAAAGAATAGCGGCGTATCTTGTGACTGACTCAGAAGTCCCATTCCCAAATTGCCGCCATGGATTTGAAGTGGAAATGGTGTGACTGGGTGATGATTTCGCACAGTGACTAAAGTAAATAAAAATAGAAAATTTACAACGAAAATTGCTAGAAAAAGTAGTTGTAAATTGGTTGGGCTTCTTCTCCGGACGGTTGCGATCTTCCACATGTTAATGATTGTATGCTGTATGAATCAAAGCTGATTTTCCCAAGCACCAACGTCTTAACAGTGACCAGGTAGAATTTCCCCTGTTGAAATAACACAAAACAAAAAAAAAACAAACATGTGAATCACAGTATCAACATAAAACAAAATTTACTAAAACTACGCAATTAATGTTATAAAACAAATACCTAATTTACATTAAGCGTAAAATATATTAGTTTATGACGTCATCAGAAGTGCAAACGTCTTTGTGATTTGCGCAAAATGAATGATGGTCGTAAATGTTTCAAGTGACTGC